GGTTGGAGGCCATTGCTCTTAGGTTGGAGGCCATCGCTCTTAGGTTGGAGCCATCGCTACTAGGTTGGCCTTTTTCGGCCTTTCGAACGCGAAGAGCTTCAAGGCGTCTTTGCGCATTTCCTAGCATGACGTCAGGTCATGGCTTCCGAAATGGAAGTCTTCTCGTGATCTGTCGATCCAAGTACTGCCTTCAGGCAGTCAGTGCTCAATCGGCGAAAAGCGCCAGCATGGTGGTAAAATCCGGCGCCTTTTCGGTCTCAAAATCGACCTTCACACTGCACAGGTCTCGTTTTTCGGAGAGCCCAAACAAGTGACACTTGCGTCTCAAACCATCCAGGGAGACGTGAGGTCGGCTCTGCGCGAACGTCGTCATCACACAGCAGCCACTCAGAAGTGGAAGTGACATCAAAGCATTTCAACGCCGCTCCATAGTGGCCAGCTCCGGACCTTCCCAGATGCGCCAAGGCAGCGATGGGGATGTACTCGTGGTGCTCAATCAGTATGTCATCTCCTGTAAACCGAGGAAGCCTGATCACAGCATCTAAGTGCACGCGAGACATGAGCTTCTGACCGGTCATGGTGCCTGCCAAAGGTCGGAGTCTGTATAGGTGGGAATATGCAGTGAGCATGCCAGATTCTGTGTGCCAGTTCTCAATCAACTGATGCAAAAACTGAACAGGGTCCGGCATCACCTTCAAGTGCATCATGAGATTGCCCGCTGCAGATACGTGTCTTTTTACCGCACCAGACTCCCTAGCAAACCTTCGTTCCCAAAGGCTGTGCACAATCGCAGTGTCCATCTTGGACATGAGAAACAACGTAAATTCAACAGCATCATGCTGTTGAGCCCCACTCCAAGCAGCCAAGTGGTCACGAAACGCCTCCAGCTCAAGGAGCAAAAGGGAAGTGGATCCTCTCTGAACCATGGTCTGCAGACCCGCCTGGAGAACACCCCAATCTTCAAAGGAGAAATGCTGTCGATGCAGAGTGGCCCAAACCATAGCTTCCATGGACGAGTTGAGGTAGCAATGGTTGGCCGGGTTCTGCAACTCCCATCCGGCAACAATGCGTGCCAGCTGACTGCGGTCAGCTTCCATCAAAGCTGTTGTAGCATGTCCTTGACCTTCACGGCCAGGGGTGATACCTTCAGTGTATGAGGCTTCATCTGAATGCCCGCAATTTGCCACAGGCTGAGGTGACAGCTCGAGCTCAAGAGCTTGTGGAGGCGATCGTTGCGTAACCCCACCTGAAGCTTCCAGGGTTGGCTCTTGGTGGCCTCCTGACGACTCAAGGAATGAAATTTCTGGATCGCCCCGTCCTCCTTGACCAAGGTGAGGAGCCCTTCCAGGAGTTCTTGTGCCACGGTCATGGACATGGGCGTCTTCGTTTTGGACAGGATGAGCTTCTTGCTGGCCGAGTCCCACTGAGTGTACGGCCAAGTCTGATCCTCCAACAGGATGCCATTCTTTACCATGGTGACCTTCAGAGGGTCCTGATCGTTGCAGGCCATCAACTTCAGGAGCCGTCGTTGCAACTCTCGCAGCAGAGCCAAGATCAGGTGAGATCTTAGAGTGGTGGTCTTCTCCTTGAGGTCCGTCCATTGGCGATGGGCCGCCCGGAGGAGTGGAATGCTGCCCTCTGGGCTTGGAACCAAGAAGAGAATGAATGTATCCTGCTGTGCAGTCGCTTGGAGGTCCTGGTCGCGCCGTAGCATCAGCTGACCCATAGCTCGAATGAGATCTCGTAGAGGGGGTTCCCGGTCCACAGTCTGTCGATCGCGCTTGCTTGGACCTAGTCTGGCCCTCTTGGATGGATCCTGATCTTTTGCACCCGCTTCCGACAGGCCCCAACCTTGGAGCGCCGCCAATGACTGCTCCGTGAAAGCGTCCTCCATGGATCCCAAGCCAAAATCGTTCATGAATTGGAAGGGCGATCAACGAGGAGATCTGGATCAGCGTGGGGCATGCAATCAAATGAGCCCGTAAGTCATCTCGAGCCATGCCACAAAAGAGACAGCCCAAGGTTGAGTCAGAGGGTGCAGGCAACATACGAAGAATCTGCTGAACAAACATCATCAACCCTCGTTCTTGGCAGTGATGCTCAACAAGAAGGTGAATTTGCAGATCAGTTCCATGACCACGAAAATCACACATGAAGCAGTTGGAGCTCAAGATCTGAATCGATTCATTGCACTGCCATAACTTCTGAAATTTCCGATCAATCAGCCAGGAGTGCACGAGGTTGACCAGTTCAAGTGGTAGAACGCCTGGGCGAAGCAGCTGGTGCAGCATTTCCGAATCAAAGACCCACGGAACTAGGATTTCATCATGTAGTCGAAGATGGGTCATGGCTATCTGCCGAAGACCAACACATTCATGTCGGGAGGTCATAGATGCCACTGCTGGAGTGCAAATGCATCCCGTCAATGGGCTAATGACTTGCTTGCGGCTGAGGCCAAGATGAAGAGCATCATTCCACAGGATGGAGCGCCTTTCTTGCAAATGGCGGGAGAGCTCACGTGCTCCCGAGAATGTTCGGCCACAACACAAGCATGCACAGTCAAAAAGGTCCGAGCACCTGCTTCACGAAGATAGGGACCAAGTCGTCCAGTCAGCATGGCAGCCTTGAGTTCATGGCTGATGGCAACTTCTGGGACTTGTTTGCGAGGATCAAAGTGTTTGCAATGCCCCTTCGTGATATGGTAGCGGAGTGCATCCATGGAGGTCACCAGAAGACCGCAATGGGAGCATGCAGGTTCACCTGCAACTGAGTCCCTTTTGGGGTCATATCGATGCAACTGCTGTTGATGTTCTTGAAGATGTGCTGTCAACTGCAATCTGGACTTGAAGCTTTGTGAGCAAAGGTGACGCGGCCATGAAATAGAAGGCGTCTGATCAGTCTCGGCCGAGGACGGGACCCTGGTCGAAGAGGTCACCAGGTCAGTCGACGGGGATTCCAGGTCAGCCTGCAGGATGGCGGTCTGCAACAGAATACTTGGATGACCGGCCTGGTTACTATCTAGATACACCAACTTATAACAACTTACTATCTTACTTACCAAACTTAGGAGGTGAACTTATAACCAAGTTACGGGTCAACTTACTATGTAGGCCGCGGCGAACATAGTATGTAGGCCGTGGCCTACATAGTAAGTAGGATGGCTTATTTGCCTAAGCTGGCTATGTGCGCCGGAACGTACTTAGTAAGTAGGTTGGCCTGAATGCGTAAGTATGCCAAATTCACCGCGACGAACTTAGTAAGTAGGCCGCTAAGTAGGACAAGTACGCGGGGCAAATTAATGTTGCAAGGTTAAAAGTGCGTACGATCTTGCCTTCGCTCCATTTTGTAGCGGTTCCGTTTGTTGCGTTTGTTGACAGAGGTTGCCTTTATATACTTTTCAAAGAAAAACACATAAAGACCAAACACCATAAAACCAAACAACGCAAAACAATCCAAGATCGACAAGACAAGCAACCAACCAAACAACGCTAACAAACAACCAAATATACAATCAACGACGCGTTGAAGCGAGTCTCTTCATTTGCAAAGTTCACAAAAATGAACTGAATTGAACTGAAGCAAACACATATTTTCTCACAACCACGTCGTGCACGGCACAATTTTGGCCATGCCGGGGTCAGCATCACAGTGGATGCAAACATCCACTATGTAAGAGAGATCTGCCACGAACGAATCTGGCCCTTTGCGAAACTTGTTTCCACCCTGTGCCACCCAATGTGTCACACAACAAAGATTGCAATCGCCGCACTTGGCAAAGAAATTGACCTGCCCATGCTGCCGATCACCCATGTCATCGACCAACGCAACCACATCTCCTGCCCAAGCTCGACTGCCTGGGGCGTAGTACGCCGAGCGAGCCACAAGCATGGGTCCATCGAAACCAATCTTGCTGAGCTCTCTGCAAGCAGAAGCGGGTGCTGGAGAAGGGGAGCAGAGCCCTCCGTAATATGGCTCATGCGCAGACCCTGTGAGGTCAGCCAACATGTCACCCATAGCGTCCACTATAACGGACCTTTCAAATTGGCCCCATGTGTTGCAAATAAGGTTTGCGTGACGCTTGATGAACTTGTGTTTCCGCTCGTGCACCCAGCACGAGACTAATGTCCCGTGCTGGGTACACTGGGAGGGCAGGTGCAGGGAGTAATGATGCTTTGGCAGAAAACGCTCATAGAGAGCAACGTACCCACGTAAGTGGTTTTCGATTGCCTCTTGAAGAGCAGCAGCGTCCCACCCGTGCTTCTTTTGGTGAACCAGCAAGTCCAAAACTCTGCAAAGGCGGAAATAGCTGGCGCACTCTTCTCGCAATCCTGGAAGGTCCATCTCCTTGAGGACGAAGCGAATCACGCTGTATATTGACAAGCATTCACTGGCCGAGCATTTGATGTCTCCATCTTGGTCTTGCTTCTCGAAGATGCCTATGCCGGAAGTGTTTTTGCCAGCATAGGCCTTTGGCCACGTGAAGCGGTGCAGCTCGGCGTTCAGCGTCTCTTGTGTCACTCCACTCGCAGACAGCCTCGCGACTAGTGCGCCGCACTCAACATTCCAGAGGCCAGACACCGAGTAGGTGTGCATCCAGTCACACATTATACTGGATATTGGCCTCAGTGTCAAGATGCTTGACCCCAGGAAACCATCGGGACTGTGGTTGTACCCCAATGATTGTTGCAGCTTCTTGAATGCAGATGGAGTGATCCGGTCGTCACGGCTGCAATCCGCTAAGTACTTCACCGTGTCCAGAAGAGTTTTGTCTGAGTGGAGGTCCACACCGTTCAGCGTAACCCTATTGCTAGGCACAAACTCCGTTGAGTGCAGGTGAAGCTCGCTCTTCCAGTCGACCACGTTCCGGCATATCGGGCACAGTAGACTGCCGGAGGCCCCTTTAAATTCCATTGCCTCCTTCAGAGCGACTTCGTCGCCGACCACTATAGACAATTCACAGAATAACATTACGCGAGTGCCATCAGGGAATGCAAGTTGAACTCCGTGCCTCATGTCGAGGGGACTGAAGAAGCGCTCGCATGCCTCTTTGAAATACTGGCTCATCTTGCCTGGCAAACGCCTTACATAGTCACAACGTGCTATGCCAAGCAAAAACCAATTCTTCTCAAGGGTCAGCGCCAAGTCGCCAAATTCTTTGATTGACCAATAAATGCATTCAACCTTGCGGCCCTGATTGTGCGCCAGAACGTTCCCAGGTGAGATGGCGTCGGAATACGCAATCAAGTTGAGCGGGTTCTCCTGGCTTGGCCGATGTTGATCCAGTACCTTCAGCATGAAACCTGAAAACTCAGTGCATTCCATGCACATGTGGCTAAGCAGAGGGATTGGCTGGACAAACGGAAAATCAACGGTTTTTTCTGATTTCGGCTTGGTCGCCGAGCCAGTCTTTTTCGTCTTCTTCTGCTCTACCGGCAAGAGTGTGGTGCGCCAAGATTGCAGAATTCTGCCATAACGAGTGTCCAAATCCACCACATCGTCTCGACGTCTTTTGATCGTTTGTCTTGACGTCGCACTTGGGAACTCCTTATCTTTGAGCTCTTGCAGAACAGTACTCAAACCGCTTCGGCTTATCCCTTTGTGTCGACCAAGGCTGCCAATGTTCACAGCCATGTCGAAAAAATGCAAAAATACTGGGGAGCAGGCGCCTGCCCAGCCAGTGGAATATATATATATATATATGTATGTAGTTATGTATGTATACTATTGGCCTGATGCTGGTGATTGCGTATGTGTATATTTGAATCATCGGTTCTTTTGGAATAATGCTGAACGCTGATGTCGCTGATGTCAAAACATGAACATAATCTGATGATTCAACGCCCAATTTTAGCATTAATATTGACGCCGCTTCATATTTCAATATCTGAGCCAACAGAAAGCGCTCTTTGAGAAAACGACTGCAAATGTGATGCCCGCACTTCAACTTGATCAGTTTCATTCAGACGTGCCACGCTGAAAAAAATCTAACCTGACAAGTTGAGCGGTATAGAATGTTTTTTCACTCATATACATTGCTCATTGTCACAAACCCCTCTGGGACATGCCCTCCTCGATGATTTCAAGGGCACGGTGAAACGATGCAGTGAGGTCATCTCCAAGCTTCACCTTTCGATCATTTTTGTCTGTCTTGTGCACGAATGCCCGCCAGCATGCGGACTTGGGGTTCTTGTGCACTTTCCCACTCCCCCAGTAGAATGTCCCAGTCCAAGGATCTGGCGGCGGGGGCTTGGGACCTAGATTCACGCGCTCGGCCGGCTCCTTGGGCGCAGGCTCTGCTGTTGCGGGAGCAGCAGCTTTCTTCTTGTCAGCTTTTTTCTTAGGCGCAGGTGGCTTCTTCACAGCAGTTTCCGCCTTTTTCATGCTCTTGCAAGGACTTTCAACTGCTTCTGCTGGGGATGCTGCAGGTCTCTTAACCACTGCACGGGCGCGCTCACGGCTCTTGACGCTTGCAGCGAACAATTTCGCATAGTCGGAAGGCTCCTTGGTGGCCTTCGGGTCCACGCCACTGCCAAGCTCAAGCTTAAACATTGGCTTCCGATCATGTTTTCCTCCTGACATGGTTTTCTTCTTGCTCTGACTAGTCTGAGTATCGTCTTCTTCATCTTCTTCCTCTTGCCCTTCAACCGGCCCATCTTCCACTGGAAGTACCTGCGCCTTGTCTGGCAAGCCCTTGGGATCTGTCAGGCTTGCGTCTGCGACATTGCTGAGTGTCTTTTGCCGTTTCTTCCCGCCGAAGATCTGCAAGTTGCGCACACTAGAGGTTTCTCCAAGTTCTCCGCCCCCCATGAGCTGTTGCATACCAGCAAACATCAACATCATAGGGTTGATTCCACCACTTCCACCGCTACCACTGTTTGGCTGCATCATTTGGTTCATTTGGCTCATCATAGCAGCCATGGGGTTGTTGTCCTGGAAGGGCAACGCCTTCTTCACCGAAGCATGTGACTTTCTGGCGACCACTATTGCCGATTCTGCTCCTGCACAGTTCTGCCTGGGCGGAGATGGCTGCTCGTCTTCAAAGACCCTATTGAACACATCCTTGGGGAGATTGGCAGGGTCATCAGGAAACTTCTCTGGCAAAGGCACCTTTGCCAGGTGTTTGACTTTGCTCTTTAACTGCTGCTTGAACTCGTTCACAATCCTCAACGTCTCCGGTCCAGGCGCCACCTTCATGCCGCCTCAATTATACAGCTATGAACAAGACAATATGCAGGATGCAAGTTGGCAACAACAATTAGAAGCACCAGTTGCGAAAAAAGCAATGCATGACACACACACAATTGATGCGAACTGTAGATATGAAAATCATCCAAGGCACAGTCGATAGCTGTTTTGATGATCTGTTTGGTGGTGGTCTCTTTGGGCAAGTGAAGTCCCAAAGCTACACACTTGGCGACCAACTTTTGGACCTTGTTGACGTTGTGAACTTCTGGGTCTGACAAGAGCTTCAAATCACTCTCGGTCAAATAGGAAGCGAAGCAATTCAAGGTCTGAAGTGGTCGTCTCTGTGTGGAACTGTCGCCAGATGCGGCTCCTGCCATTTTAGATGCTAGAGCATCTGACAGAAGCTCATGGTGCTCATCAAACCATGGACCCTCACCCAGCAACTCTCCTATGGTTGCAGCTTCTGCTGGTTGGATGTTGGTATTGTTGATTCTTGCGACCCAAGAACCAACTTGGTTGTCTAGCATCTTTTTGAACGCTTCTTTCTTCACGGTGCGCTTCTGTGTGCTCAGGAAGCTCTGTATGTGTGTCAGATCATCGATGAACATATCCCCCTTTGTCGCCTTGGAGCCAGAGGAAGCCATTGGGTTGTGTCGTGGACACTCGCCGAATTTCACTGAATGCAAAATGGCTGCAGTGGTAAGCACGCGTGCAAACATGCACAGCATGCTGCAGGCATATCACGCTCTTCAATGACTGCCTCAATGGATAGCACACTTATAATAACATGTTGCTGCGCAGCTGGGCTTGAATTTGCACTGCGCGATCTTCAGCAGTGACACGGAGGCGTTGCCGCTTCTACAATCAACTTCAGGAGAGATTCACCTGCGTGGATGAGGTCAATGGATATGACTGAGACTTGATGGCAATGGAAACTCTTTGCGCCAAACAGTGACTATAGCCATGGTTGCATCTTTTCATTAAGTTGCAACATTCTGCCCAAACAGTGACTGCATCCCAGTGTGTTGGGCCTTGGCTCGCACGGCATGCTGAGATGCTGACTTGCAGCAAGAAGCAAATGTTGAGCCTTGGCTGCCGCTGCGTGACGACGTCACAGTCTAACAGGTCATCCCAGCAATAGGTGATACGAGACTGACTTCACACCGATACATTCATGCACGCCAAGAAACTCATCGCGTAGATAAAGATGATGAACACACGCGTGAAAACCTGGCAGTCGCTTGCAATTGCAATACGGTAGCAACCTTGTGTGACCTGCAATGCAAAAGCATACGCATGGTCCAGCCCTGCTTTCCAATCCCATGCATGTCGGTGTCCAGTTTTTCTCAACACTCTGCAGTGGAGGAGCAACGTTTATGCTACTATAAGAGCTAATTATGCACCTGGTGGGATTACATGGCGCCAAGCACAAAGATAGAACCATTGCAGTAGTTTTCGACCACACTTTAGACACAACATTCACAGCAGTAGCATGTGAAGCCATGTAATCCCACCCGACCACAGGCATGTGCTGACCTGGGCGTCCACCTGAAACAATATGTTGGAACAACCTTGATTGCGAGGTTGTCTCACATCCACATGAACAAATTCGCTGACATGCCTGCGCTGATCCAACAAACAAGAGAGTTGACATGCCCAGGCCATGCAACCTGCCTATGGATGTGGCACAGCCGTGCATTTTTAGTTTTTTTGATGTTTTTTTGTAGTGCGCCTTCCATGGCGTATTCGCCAGCGTGCTGCGCTCAGATGCCGCGAAAAATGTGTTTGTTGAATTCAGATTTGGTGGTGAGTACCCTCGCGACACCTGAACCTCCACACAATTCCGGCCCCAGGATCGAGCGCCACATGCATTGAAGGCATATAATACGCATGTATGCAGGAGCCATGGGTATATGTATGGCACAGTCCGCGCTCGACCCTTTATATCGGCATCCGCGCGGCAGCTGTTGAAGGAAGCAATCATGATGAGCCATTAAGTACAGGTGGCCCCTTTAGAGAGACATTAGACTTGACCCTTCAAGTACATTATATAGATCTGACACTTTAAGTACCTTCAACGTTGCTATTACCTTTCTACTCACCGTTTACCTTTACCTTTACCTTCTTATTCACCTTTTCACAGCGTGCTTCAACGTTGCTGCCATGTCCTGCGCCGCCTGGATGGTGCTGCGCCTCTCATCTGGGGACATGCCGCTCGAGGAGGATGTCGCCTCAGCGTCGGTGAACCGCTCTGAAAGGCAATTGTTTGAGTTACAGTTACGCGCAAAACTGTACTGTAAATGCACTGCAACAATCAAGTAAGCAGTAAACATTTTTTGAAAATGGCCCAACAATCTCAACTAAATCCAGATGAGTTGCCCCTTCATGCACCTCATGGAGCTCAGCAAATGCCTCCTCAGTCACAGGCCATAGATTCCAGCAAACACTATATGCTGAACAAATGCTACAATACAAATCTATCACATCAACATGAATGTTGTCTCTAAATGCGATCGAGGAGCCTTGGCGCGGATTTGGGCGCCGCCCCGGGTCCTCGCCCGGGTTCTTGTCGACCCTTGATCCCGGTACTGCTCGATGTTGCACTGCTGCAGCACCTTGCCGTCCACGCACACCGTGCCATCATCGCGCCACACTTCCTGAAAGCATGGACATGTGACAAGCTCCAAACCACTCACCAACGCATGCATTGACCGTGGCACATTGGATCACATGGCTCTTGCTGTCAGGTTGCCTTCTTGCTGCCATGCCATTCGATGTGGGTCACAATGGGCGCCTGAAGCATGCAGGAGTTGAAACTGGCAACCATATAAAGGTTCTGAATATCAGACATTGTTTATCAGACATAAACTGTTGAATATCAGACATTGTATATTGACGTGTGCTGACACTATGCGAAATGCGTCTATCAGTCCTCCGCCACCTCTGAAGGCTGACATGTCAAGCTCGGCGCCTCCTGCAGAGACATTGTGTTCAAGCGCACTTTGCAACTCACAACATACAGTGACACCTGACCTCACATCACAACGCCGCAATGCACTATGTGCCTTGGCTTGTGAAGCCTCCATGGTGGCGGCCCTCCACGCCAAATCCTGCAGGAAGGCCGGCGTCAGCCTTTCTGGCAGCGGCGCATCCTGGAATGCGAAGTGAAAAGGATACACAAACATGTATCTTTGCGCGCAGGTTTTGCTGTGGCCCGCGCCTCACCATACACCATCCTGAACGCCGGCAGCCAGCTGTAGCCAGCCGGAGTGGCCTTCGCCTTCCGCTGCTTGGCCACCTGCGTCTCCTCCATGTTGTCCATGGCCCGCTCGATGGAGCGCTGCAACAGATTACACAAGCAATGCGTGATACCATAAACATGGAGAGTTCAAGGTAAAAAGAATGCTGATTGCGAAACGCCTCCATTGCCATGTCCTTCATCATGA